AAATGCTTTCTATCGCTTTCTTTCTTCCCATATTGCATCTTGGCAAAAAATTTTCACTCATCCTGATTTTAAAGATTTTGCCCTTTATGCTATCTCCTATCTTCAAGGATATTTGGGTGCTGAAAGTTGCCCGACTACTATTAACCTAGAACCATGGTCACAGATCGTTTCTTTGCGAACGCACACTTTATTTAATTCGTTATTGTTTTCTTCGCGTTTGAACATCATGTGGTCTCTTTCCTTCCGGCCTCCGAGGCATGATCTACAACCTGCTCTGCCACTCCGATCTATTCTACCTCATTCCATTTTTCAATCGAGTTGGAAACTTTGGAAAAACTTGAATATATTTGTGCTTGCTCAGTTGGTTTCTCCTTGTGGACGTTATCTTATGAATTGGCCTGACCTTCGTTATCTTGGCATCGTTGGTCGTAAAGGACGGATACCTAATTGGTTTACTTTTATCAATAATAATTTTCTCTCTTCTTCATCTTCTACTTTACTTTTATCTTCATATTTTATTAATTCTTCTTTTACTTTAGAATCTCCTTGTTTATTAGATCATACTGTTAAAGATTATTCTTTTTATCCTCAATGGGCTATTAATTTTGACTCTGCTACTCAAACTTTATCTGTTGGTCGTGTGTGTATCACCTATAAGAAACAAAACTCGGCTATTATGTCTCATTGGCTTCCTGTATCTACCTCGGCTGATGAACGATCCTATGACCCTTGTCCCGGTTGTGCTCTTAACATTCCCGCCTTATCCATGAAATCTGCCATCAGACAACGCTGTAATAGCGAGAAATGCTTTTTTAATGTAACTCTATCGGATACTGTGGGCTATCCTACCAGAAATGCCAAAGTTTTCGCGGCTTACCTTCCCATTGCTCTATCTACTTCATGGAGTTATGCGACTTCCTTGGCTCTTGTTCATTTTTCGAACGCGTCTCCCGCTCCTTCTCCTCTCTTTAAGGATAGAATCGATAGAATTGAAGACACTATCTTACCACTTTCTGTGCAATCTTTGTACACAGATGGTTCGTTCCATCCAGCCAATGATACTTAGCCTACATCAATGACTTCTGCTTGGATTGCTCTTGATGATGTTGGACTTGTTCTGGAATCTTCTTCCATACATCTCCCTTCTTACTTTCCTTCCGCTTTGCGTTCCGAAATTTCTGCTGTTCTATTAGGATTGAACGCCCTTTTCCGTGATTCATCAATCTCTATTCATACTGATTGTAGTCAGTTAATTTCACTATGGACACGGTTTGTTGATGCTCCTTTCTCACCGAAGTTGCTCCGAGAACCTAATCATCTTCTTTAGCTTTCTATTCGACAACTTATCATGGATCGTAATCTTAATGTCGAATTGATTAAAGTCCCTGCTCATGGCGATGATATCTACAATATACAAGCGGATTCTTTGGCAAAAGATGCTCATTCGTCTTTACAACCCACTGTTCTACTTTCAACATTTTGTTATGCTCCATGCTTGTTGACTTTTAACTCCTTGCCTATTGACGTGAATATTCGACATTTTCTCCGCTCTATTGCAGATGCTCGTGCTCTTTTATCTTTCTGTTCACTAGCGCGTTTTACTGCTCTTGGTTCTCCTTCACTTTTTGATTGGGCTGGTATATATTTTTGCCTTTCACAAATTAAAGGTTTCGCTTCACATAGGAATGGTCGTCCTGAATTTTGGATCTTCCGCATTAAACTTCTTTTGGATATGTTGCCTACCTTAACTACTCTTCAACAACGTAAACCTTACTTATATTCTCCTGACTGGCTCTGTCCGCAGTGTAATTCTGCTCCTGAAGATTTGAATCATCTTTGGACTTGTCCTTATATTTTACCGGATTTAAATCCCTGTTTAACACACCGGTCTGAAGTCATTAAATTTAGAGATTCTTGTTTATCTTCTTTCCTATCCTTGAAATCTTTGGATAATTCCTTTCATACCGAGTTCTTTGCTTTGGATTGCTGGAACTATGAAGCTCCTTCTTCATCCTGTCTTTGGCTTACTCGAGGATTGTTGCCTGCGCATTTAACGGCATTTTTGAATCAATACTTTCCTCTCTCTGTTATATACAAGATTATTTCTCCCCTTCTTAATGACTTCCAAGTCGAATTATATGGTGAAATTTGGCTGTGTCGGAATGTTCTTTTCCATGCTTGGGAGGAGTCGCAGGGTATCTCGGCTGCTTCCAAATTACGTGGCCCATCTACAAATTCTTTTCCTAATACTACTTCTCCACAACAACACAACTCTTCTTTGGCGTCAGTCTCTCAGGATTCCTGGATTTCTTGGATATCCTCTTCTATAATTCGGGGTGGATCTTGGATCTCGCACTTGGATTTTCTGCGCTGCTTAACAGTTCAACCTCTTAGGATTTCTTTCTGGTAACGGACTGGACTTTTTGGATGTTGGATAGTTGACTCACACTGGCCTTCGGGTAAAGTTGGGGTATGCGATTCTGTAATAGTCTAGTTTTTCTTTGCTTTAATTTTATTTTAGTTTAGATTTCTTTACTTGTATGAGTCGTGAAGCTACTCTTTTTATTTTTTATTAGTTTATTTTCTTATTTTTGTAATATTGTTCGATTA